TCATACCGGACGGGGTATTGAGGTTCATGGTTTCGGCGCCCATACCGGACGGGGTATGGGGACGGCCCTGGAAACTGATTATGAATGTTAAAGGTTAACGGGTAGCGGAACCCCTATGGACCCCCACGGATACTAGTAGGCTGGTAAATGAGAAAAAAGATATGTTGTACAATGATTGAATTACAAGATGCGTGATAAGTGTTATGTTTTACAGCTTAGATTATTCAATGATTATGATAATGTTATTGTTTTTCTCATATTGTTTTCATAAATTCCACCAAGGTAAGTGGATGGTAAAAGTTTTATTATTGATAAAAGGTTTTGTTGTTAATAAACGAGTTTATTGTAAATTATGCTCCATTGGTCTTTTTGTGGTTTTCTACCCACCTTTATCTCCGTGACGGTGAAATATCGTGATGTTCTTACTGGGCTAGTGTAGCTCACTCCTTAATTAACCATTTCAGATCAGGAAGACATGGTTCCCGAGCCCGTTCCGCAGGAGGACGACGAAGGGGATGCCTAGAGACTCTGTAGTCATACGCATAGTTTATTTTCGAGTTTTCTTTCTTAGTTAGTTTAACCTTTTATATTTTAAGTACGTTTGTTTGGTTTTTCGTGTAAGGGATGTTAACTGAAATTTTGATCTCGCTTCCGCATTCGATATATTTAAATACTCATTTCATTTTAATATTTTCCGGGGCCGTTACATATTATATGAATGATCAAGGCATAATAAAATATTTTTTATATTTACATAATTAGGTCTCAAAAACTGAATTTGATTAAATATAATATATATTGAAATTTAACGAAATAATTATGGAAAAACTATACGAATGACCAATATTTTTTTAAAGATTTACTCATAATTCGGTGAGATTTACTTAAATAACATAACACAGAAAAATTGAGCATTTTGATATTTACTTCTTTTTTGTGCTTCAAGCCCATTGGAAGGAGCACAGAATTATTATTTTTTATTTAATAAAAACAATTGGGTTTTAAATTTATAAGATATTAAAAAAAAAAACGAAAGAAAAGAAATATATATATATATATATATAATTTAGCCAATGTCAGACCATCATCAAATCAATAGGCATCACGCACCAAACTACATTTCTTTGAAATTAAGCTGCTTCAATCTCCGTCAATGTTTCACCGAATTTGGTCACCCATTTTTGTCATTTAGAAACATATCCAAGTTTCAGAAAGAGTTAAACATGGGTACATCATATTAAATTAAAAATTAAAAAAAAAAATATGCCTGTATTAATTACTCATCAATTGCCAGAAAAACCATAATTTGTCTGATTAAGAGCAAACTCTTTTCCCGGGTAGCAACACAAAGAAGATTTTTGTTAATAGAATCTTGCATAATAATTATTCAGATTAAATTTGACGAATAAAAACAAATCACTCCAATGCTTGAATAATATAAAATTAATTTCCAAGAAGAAAGAAAAATTAGATGATATTTCCTTTTCCAACTTACCAACATTCAGAAGTATCTCAACAGACATACAAAACCAAGCAACTTCTTCCAAATCATTTTTAAAACAAGTTATTAAAAAGGGGTCTACAAGAGGAAATAGTAAAGAGCAGAAATGGGTATGCAATTCCTGAATTCAGAAAATCAAGCAATACTGAAACTCAAATGGGACCTGCGAGATATTCACATGGCATTTTTCAAATGCGTCAGATGGCAAGTAGAAGAAACTATGGATCCAATCAGCTGCCCCTTTCATTACTTCTGCCAAAGTGTTTATCCTGGGAATTATCCAGTTCTTGTCGATATCCTGGTTTTTGTCTTCACAGCAGCTTCATATCTTGCAACAATCATAATCATGGTGGTAAGTACATCAAGAAGAGGGAGACATGATTTAGTTCAATCAAAAAGATATTTACTACCTTCTGGTCCAGTTTCTCTTCCTGTAATCCTCTTGGTACTGGCAAAGGGTCAAAGGATTAACACTGTATTTCCTTTATCTATTGCTGGTCCTGCAATCCTCCAATTGGTTCATGTTTCTGCTCTGGCATTTGAAAATGCAGCTGATAAGAACACCAACTATGCATTCTTTGAAGCATCTACAATTTCTGGGATTTTGCATGCAAGTCTGTATCTAGATGCTGTAGTGTTACCTTACTACACTGGTTTTGATGCCCTGGTAACATCAAGATTTTCTGGTGAGTGTATATCGTGCGTGTGCCGGAAAGAGGCTCTGGTTGCAGGGGGAAAGTTGGTGTCATACAGAGGGCGTTCAGTGACTACATTCTTGGTTGTTGGATCAATATGTATGAGAATCATTTGCAGGGTGTCTGGAGAGAAGGGGAGAGGGATAATATTTTGTAGATTCTTGCTAGAAGGATTAGCTTGGATTTTCATGATCAAGGATTGTCTTTACCTTACAACAAGTTCTCCGCCAGAGCAAACTGCTTTACGAGCCGCTACTCTTGGAGCCATTTTGTTATTGATCTGCCTTTATCTACTTATCAAAACATGCAGTCTACTCACAAATTGGTTTACATGGAGTACAACATGACAAGGGTTTTGCTGAACTCCCATGGCAAAGGCCCTGTAATCTTCAAAGCTCTCCAGATTCATTTAAACATTTGGGTTTTTTGTGTTGTACAGACAGACTTGTATGGTTAGTTTTCTTCTAACTTCACTGTGTCTCGTTGTGGCGAGTATTAGTCGCCCCCCCCTTCAATGTTCCCTTTTTGGGAAGTGTTTTGCAGAGATTGGCTGGTGGTTGGCCGGTGACTTGCTGCCCAAGCAATAGGTTGTTTTACAGTGATAATTTGATCTTTTTTGTATCCAATAATACATGGACAATTGAAAAAAGAAGTATTAGGAAAATCAAGTGGTGGAATTATTTTTTTAAAAGGCATAACCATTAAAATGCATATGTGTCAAGGATTACGCTGAACATATAAATACATCACCGTTCTATCTCTTCCAACTTTGATTACAAAATTGGTCAAAACTGGTAACTTGGTATCTCAGAAAGCAGCATAGTAATATGGACGTGAGCAAATTGATGAAGACAACTGGTTCGAATTCCAACTTAACCCACTCTTGAAAGATAGAATATCCTCTTCCCCAAATGACGCTAACATTCCAATAAACAAAGAAAACTTGGAAAGAAGGAACCCAATTCGTAAGAAAACCTCCTTTGGCTAATGTTCACTTCAGGCAGAGAAAATAAGAGAAACAAGTAAATGAAAAAATGAAGATAAGAAGACATTACAGAATATTTGAACTGTACCAGAAAATGAATGACCTCCTGTAAAGCTGAGACTAGGCAGTATTCTCCAAATGTTGCTCTAGTTCTTAGGTCTACAAAATCTTTTACTTTAACCCAAAAATCAGAGCCAAAAAGTAAGCTCCAGATATCAGCATATTTTTCTCTGACTATAAACTCTAAAAAGTAAGCTAACTTAATTAGAGTTTTCAGCATAATAATATTACTTCAAAATTTATAAAACCTACTTACAAAAGCTTATAAGCTTAAAGAAAAAGACCCATCCAAATGGCCTTTAAAACTAATTTGAAATTGTTAAGCTTTGGTGCCACTTAATACATCTCAACACTAACTTATGAAGACTTGAGTTCATGCACTAAAAAAAGTGACATTAGAAAAAAAAATCAGAAAATGCCACTAAAACAAGCAACAGAGAATACCAATATGAAGACCCGCAATTACTCTCTCTCTTGAGATGTCATCTACTTTAACATCCCTTGCCTTTTTTACTTTGAATCACTTAGTTTACTTGGTTACAAATATGTACCTAAACAAATTCCAGAATGTATTTCAGGAGAAAATATAACCAAAACAACTGGGTGTTTAGTTGAAGCTGTTTCAAATATGGGAAGAAACAGTAAGTTACCTACCTAGGATGCCAAAAGATTATGAGATCTCTTTAATTATGAAAGGTTATAATCTTTCGAACACAAAAATTTTGATCTTGAAAAAAAAGTGAAGGTATCAATCTGAAAAAAGGAAAACAAAAAGAGCATTAAGAAAGAGAAGCTAGTGCAACATCCTGTTAATAGTACATTCTTATTTATCATTCCAAAAGCCAACATTCGTTCATTATACATATAAACAAGGTGGTGAAGCTTCTTTTCAGTGACTTTGAATTGTCAGAGCTTGTTGCTCAATGAAATAGCTGATAATATTTGCCCATTAGATGTAGATATAGATACATATTGTATGATAATTCAAGACTTGGGAAATATGGGGAGAAATAACCTCGGCTAGCTGCAATTGTTTTTTGATGAAACAATATGCGATTTGAACAGATTGAAAAATACCCAGATAAATCCTAATATTACCCCTTCCATTTAGTTCAATTCTATTCTATATCTTTAACTTAGTAACCAGTGAATTAGATTACTATTTCGTATTGTATTCACAATTGAATCATCTCCTATCTTAAACTCAATGATGAAGAATCTATACTCTTAGTTGATTTTAAGTAAGAATCATAAATCTCCCCATCTTGATTAGAAATGAAACTAGGATAAAATCTTCATCCAGCAGTTCCATGATTACCAGTGAATGAACACTTTAAGTTATATAATCTGAAACTCTTTCCAGTGACAGCCAATGAAAACAAGAAATGGTCGTATAAATCAACCAACAAGAAGAAGAGAATAAAGAATCATGGGAAATATATCTATTGGTTCAAAGAAATCGTTTTACAAATTACAGACATAAAAAACACAAATACTCTTATCGTACAAACTGGACAAAGGCCTGAAAAATGTGAATTAGGCACACACGAGTAGAAAAATGTGAATTGAATTCTCTACAATTTATCAGAAAAGACCAAACAACACAGAAAGCCCCAATAAGATGAGCCATACAATGTGGATCAAGAGCAGCGCCTGCCCAGGAACAGAAGCGCTCCCACCATTACGCACCTCGCAAAACCCTAACTTGGCAACCCGAGCACCAGCGCACATAGCATCGGCGCACCCGCACCAGTAGGTCACCCCATCGACCCCGCAAACGGGCTCTGTCCGGAAACAGTTGACTGGGCACGAAGTCGGCTTGGTGACCCCTGCACACACGCCGAAATCGCCATCTTTATCGCTCGGAAGCAGAATCCCTCCTGGGAGATCAGGTGCGGATCGCACGCCGATCAAGCAGCAACCCAATAAGGTAAGAATAATGAAGGAGAAGATTAGAGAAATTTTGGAGGAAAAGGTCATGTCGATGAAAATGATTTATCGTTTTCTTTTTAGAAGAATCCCCACACCGAAACCTTAATCCTAACTGCAGATCTGTGGGACTGAAGAAAAGAAGAGAGAAATCTTTGGCAATGAAGCCAAAGATTCCTTTAGGCAGATCGTGGAAGAGAGGCAGAGAATCGTATATGATTGTCGACGAAGACGAAAGGATTCGATGAGGAACGGGGAAGAAGGTTTCTTCTTGACGGCCAGGCTTTTCCCGATTCCTCAATTGGTGGTAACGGTTGAATAATAATATTATATTAAATTAATATACAAGGAAGTTATTCCGCTGTCTTCTGTTTTGACAAAAATCTTATACAAACTTTTTTAAAAAAAAAAATGTTGGGAAATTTTTTTTTTTTTAAAAAAAAACCATCTTCTTTCTTTAAGAACACTTACATGAAACTTCCTCCAACCTACCCTCTTTTTTCATAATCTCAATTAGAATTCATACTTTAATAAAAATAATTATATTAAATCAAATTTGATTAATCAAATTCGAGTATGAAATATAATTTCTACCACAGCCCGAGCTCAAGTGACTATATATCAAATGTATTTTCTTTTTCTTTTTGGTATTTACTAATTTGAAGTAATATATTTTTATTTTATAAATTATCTTTAGATCTAGAGTTATTTACTTATCTTGTTAAAGTTGTCTTGAGTTAAGTGGTATTGTTTTTTTCTCTTAGTAAGATTGAACGATCAACTATGTATTCATTCAAATTTTAAATGTCTGAAATTTGTATTCTACATAATACGGTTTTTACTTTTATATTTTTACTTTTAAGTATTTTTAAAATTAATTATTTATAAATTAAAAAAATTATCAATTATTTTATATACTTATTTAAAAATATAGATGTTATTATCGTATCAATATGTAATAAGAAGTAATATTTGATAAAATAAATATAAAAATATAATAGATTAAAATAATTGATTCTTTACTATTTATTAAATTCTTTTGTGTCATTTCATGTTTATTTTTTTATAAATAGGTTATTTTAAAACAAATAGTATTGTTTATTTTATTTTTTTTGTTTATAACCTCTATAGTAATTTTTTGATTTTGGAATCTCCTATGTTTTTATTTAGACATTTTGTAACTTTTGATTATTAACTTCGTGACTTTAGAACCTCATATATTTTTTGTTTTTATGATTTTGCAGGATATTCATACTTTTGAGTATTGTAGTGGAAATAGGGGGAAAAGGTGGAAAGAAAACAAAACAAATAAATTGAACTTTTTTAGTGATACATGTCGTCCAGTTATATAGACTAAAATTTAACTAAAAAGGTGGCCAAATACTATGATTATTGGAATTAATTTCCTCAAAAAAAGATTAATTTGGTTTTTGTGTCCAGATTAATGTGAGCTTTTTATAAAAATTAATCTGCTATTAATTAGATTAATCGCCCAGTAATTTAATCATTAAGACATTTATAGTTTATTTGAAAGTTATTGAATTCAAATTTTACTAAAAATATAAGATTTACTATTTTATGAGTGTATTATAAATTATTTGTAATTAACTTTTAATATTTAATTCAATAGTATTAATATTTTATTACAGTAGTGTATTATTGGGATTAAGATGACTAAATTAAATTAAGTTTTAATAAGTTTACTATGTTTTTGTAAAAACATATTTTGTTGCACCCACTTAAATTAACCATATAATAATTTAGCAGTCAAAACCTTTATGTTATATTTAAAGGTTATGAATTCGAATTTCACCGACAATTTTTAATATTTTCTTTGCTGCGAAAAATATACTCTTTTCAATAATTTCATTATATATAATTAATTTTAACAAATATCACGTCCTACATTTATTTTTAACAAATATAGTCTAACTTTGTTAATAAAATCTTAAATATTTCCTTTTCGATGTAACAGTAAAATGAAGAAATAACGATACACGATTCCGAAAAAATAATAATAATAATAATGAAACACACAGATTTGAACCTTCGTAAGGCAGAATCAGCTTTATCTGTTTTTTTTTTTTTTAAATCTCCATCCCCATAAGCGAGTAGGAATTTACTTGGCTGCAGAGCTCTTGCTCCAGAGGACCTGACCATCAATTCCAGTTAGCCATTTATCATCTAGGCGTTTCCATGTTTTAATCGATTTAACAGCTCCCCAACCTCCATTCATTCTCTTCTCCAGTTGTCCTACCACCACCCTTGCTCTCCTCGCCCATCCAGCTTTGCCGTAGGCATGGTATCCGAAACCACCAGCATAACAAAGGTGTATACCAGTTAGCTTACCACAGAAGTCATTGAGATGATCATGGCCTGTGAAGACAGCCTTCACATCACCTGCTGCTACCATGGTTGTGAAGAAGCCTGAGTTCACAGAAGCCGAGCTGATAGGATCTTGTCGAACACCTGTGAAATTTGATGAGTCAAACTCTGGTAAGGGGATGTGAAAATACGCAAGCCCAGGTGCAGGTCCTTTCTGTGCGTTTGGCTCTTTAGTATATTCCCTCTGCAATATGAAATGAAATGATTCACTAAACGTGGTCATTGCCATATGAAACTACCAAGCATATCGGCATCCCAACATTTTTTTTTCATCCGTCAAGAAATCCCTTTCTAGAGCTTGAAATTTTCAAATGAGTAACTCAGTAAAATGTGATCAAGAAAATATTCAACAGTGAATAGATCCAATTATATGAATTACCTGAAGCCTTGCAGAAGTTCGTTCAAACCAAAATTGCTGAGAAGGTTTGATCCAGCCATAGCCTGGTATTGAAGCAACTGTGGAGTAATCTCCACTGTCCAGGAAGTAGAGATTGAGAACTGATTTGTTTTCAAATCCTGTCCCTTGAACACCACCAACCTCCAGGTTGTAGTTTCCAAAACCATCAATAACATGGACCTCTCGAGGATTGATTTTTGACATTGTGTTCTTCAACCCAACTATATGTTTCATGACTTCTTCCCTAGAGAGTGAGGATTCCTGGTCATGGTTCCCCAAAACGGCAACCCATGGGATATTTGACTCAATTGCAGGGGCAAATGCAGCATTCAATGATTTTGCTCCGTCTATAGCATCAAACCCATATATATTATCCCCTGTAAATAAACACCCATATAAGCTTGGATTCTACCATATTTTAATTCTTTAAAAGGGGTTTTAACAAGAGCAGTTAAAGCTTGAAGCTGTAGTCTCAAGTGATTATTCCTTAATCCAGAAACTGATTGGATTGTTATAAATCACGGGTGCTGGTTATCACATGTAAGAATCACGGGTTAACATTTAGTATTCAAACAAAAAAATTAGAAGAATCAAAATCTAAAGTTGAATAATATGATATCAGAATCATGGGCCCCTTTCCCTCTCAACTTCTCCCACACATAGCCCAAGAAAAAAGAAACCATATGCTGTAAAACTGGGACACAAATTTTTTCTAACGTAACGGTAAAAAGATCGAATGTTCCTAAAGCAGAGCCAAGCAAGAAAACACAAGTGTTTAATCAAAGCTGAAGACTGAAAACTGAAACAGTAATCTCCAATCCATCAATAAAGAAAAAAGTTAAAGAAAACAAGAAAGGGTACCGGTGAAAACGATGAGATTGGGCTTCTCGGCGAGGATCATGCGACGCAGAAAAGCGGTGGTATTGAGGTCGGAGCAAGAGGACATCTGGCTGGGCAAAACGTCAGAGCAGGGCGTCGTTTTGCCTTCAGCATAGTGCATATCCGCCACTTGCAGTATCTTAAATTCCCCATTTGGAGAGAAGCGCAACTTTCGTTGCTGAGCTAACGCCAAGATCGGCACAAGACATAGCCACACCGCCAAAAAGGAAACCCAGACTTTGCTCTTGCTGCAATCCACCATCGTCTCCCAAGATGAAAAGTAAGTGTGTGCAAAGCAAAAGTTAAAGGGTAGAAAGTAGGGAATAAGAGTGGTGAATGGTCGGGGAGTGTGGATTGAGAGATTAGCTTAATGTATATATATATATATATATATATATATATATGTATGTATGTATAAGAGGTGTTCGATATGATGTGACGACCATTTCAAAGAGGGAAGTCAAAATCAGAGTTCACGAAGACCACGAAGATGAAGACAAGCAACAGAATCCACACGCAAACAATTGATTATATGGACAGAAATAATATAAAAAATAAATTAATAATTAAGTTTGAACTTTTTTTTTAACTAAAAAGAAATAAATTTAGTATTAAATTCTCGGTTGATGTATGGAGAAAGTTGTAATTTAAAAATAAAATCTTCTGTGAATTTAAAAAGAAAATGCGGTGTGAATTTAAAAAAGTAGGGAAACCGGTTGGTGCGAAGCTTCTTCATATTATAAATGCCACTCAAGCAAACCTTAAATGAACTTTAAAAAGTGGTCATCAATTCAATTTTCCACTAAATTTCTAAGAATTGATTATAATTTTATTAAAAAATTAAATTTTTTTTTAATGTATGTATATATATATTAGAAATAAAAATGAAAGGTATATTTAATAAGAATGGAAAGAAGAAAAAGATGTATGAGTTTTATTTGCCATTCAAAATCAATGGAGAATGAGGAACATGCATTCATTGACTTGACTCAGACTAATATTTATTACTATTTTATGTGTTCCCATGCATATAAATACTGTGTTCCATACTTATAACTAGATATTGGGTATATTCATTCTCATATATTCTTTACCAATAAAAATATAAATTTACATATATGTCGATATTTGATACTAAATAATTATCAGTAAATTTTTAATTAAATTAAATAAAAGTAAAAATAAAAAAAAATTATTTACTATATATATATATATATATATTACGAATCAAAATTAACAAATATCAATTGTATTATTAAATCTATAAAAGTTCATCACTATAAAATTAAAATTATAAATAAAATTAATTTAACTGCGTCATAATTATTGAGTTGGATAAAACACAATAGGTTTACAGTAATACCTTATAACTATTTTATAATTATAAATGTTATAATCGATTTTCAACCAACAAGAAAATCAATTTTTAAATGCATGTATCTTATTTTATAACTTAATGACTTAAATTTGAATCATTAAAAAAAAAAAAGGGGGAAATAAAAAATTGAATAGATGAATTATGTGGAAAATTAGATTAGACAACCACCACTCCTTGTTATATCGTGTTTTTCTAAGTAGTTTGCGTTCCCTGGGGGCACAGCAACAATTGGTCATTTTCATTACTAATTTAATAGAAATCAAAATTAATCAATATAATTTATGAAATACAATTTATATTATGACATTAATCAAATTATAATAGATATTTATGTGTCTACATGATACGAGATAATTTCTTAAATAAAAAAAAACAAATAATCTGGATCTGGGTTTCATTTAACTATTATTATTATTATTATTATTATTATTGTCATCGTCAAAACGTGGCGGAAATGCATTTGTGAAGTAGCCAAAAAATACCCCTGCAATGACGTTATTCATGCCATGACACGAGGTGTTTCTTTCTTCATCCACCCATGGTACCACAAAACTGTTTTCACATTGCTCATACTAATATCTTTATGAATAAAATTTTAATTTCAAAATTAAATTTTAGCATGTATTTCGGAAAAATTGAACTCATTGCATTTAAAAATAAAAAAAAATCACTTACTTGGAATATACATAAAAGTTTATATTGGATAATTAAACTTGATTTAATTAATGTTAAAAATTAAAACTTCAATTAATTTACAATAAAGAGGCGAAGGTAAAGCGGCAACACTAAAGAGAGGCAAAAGCGAAACACTAAAAAAAAAAAAAAAGAAATAAACGATAACAATAAAAAAAGTGAAGACAAAACGACAACCTCTCTACTTATATAAACAGATTTAGACAAAAAATAATAGACAAATGTGTGGAAAAGAAAAATATTAGGGTGTGAAATTTTGTCTTGTGAGTGTTATAAAATTTATGTTCTTTCTATCAATAAAGTATTGAATATTTTTTAATTTATAAATTTATTATCTAGGCAGTTATAATAAAATTAAATTGTCAACATCTGGTATCGGAGCGTAAGGTTTGATCAATATGGTTTCTAGTTCAACAACAGGAGTTCAAATTCAACAAGTGCAATCATCAATTTTTACGTTTGATGGCAAAAATAATTTTGCGATATGGAAGCACTTAATGTTACTGTGTTTGAGAAGCAATGATTATGGCAAATTTTAGATAATAATTTTGCTGAAAAGAAAATATCGTCAGCAATAGGTTTACAAGACTTGGTTCGTGATTATTCGTTAAATGAGAAATTTTTAATTTGTTAGTCCGTGGAGTTATCGGTTCTGAAAAAAAAATATTTCATGCCAAAACAACAAAAGAGATTTGGAATATTTTACTCGAAACATATAAAGGTGTCGATTGCAAGGATTGAAAAGACAGTTCGAGCTAATGGAGCAACGCAAAGACGAAAGTATTCGTGATTATTTTTCATGAATTGACAACTTAATAAACGAGATGAAGAATAATGGAGACTAAATAAATGAGAAAGATGTCATGGAGAAGATCTTATGTAGATTGTCAAGTCGATTCGACTACGTGGTGACAACTATTGAAGAGTCAAAAATTTTGGACACCATGACCCTTAATGATTTACAAGTTCCATTAGAGTCACGTGAGATGTGGATGAATGAAAGATCTCAAAACATAATAGAATAAGCTTTAAAGGCTAAATTGAATTTAAAGGATGAGACACCTAGATCACAACATAGTCAAAGAGCCTCAAATTTCAGAGGCAGAGGAAGAGGAAATTTTAGAACGACTTCAAGATAAAGAGCAACAGAGAATGAATCTTCTCAAGATAAGTCTCGCATCCAATGTCATAAATGCAAAAAATATGGTCACTATCAATTAGATTGTAATCATATATTTAGTTCCATAATTGTAAAAGATATGGTCATTCTAATAGAGAGTGTCGTGCGAGGAGATCAGAACATGGAGTAAATCAGGTTGGAGTAGCCCAAAATGATAGTGTAGAGACTTTATTGATGACAACTCATGATAGTAATGGAAGTAACAATAGTCAGTGCTTATTAAACTCAGGTTGTAGCAATCACCTGAGTGGAAATAAGGAAGTATTCTTTGAGTTATATGAATCGTTTTGTTCTTCAGTGAAACTAGGAGACAACCATGAAGTCCCAATTTTAGGAAAAGAAAGAATTGCCATTAAATTAAATAATGGGTCTGCAGATTATATTTTCGAAGTTTATTATGCTCCTACTATTTGTCAAAACCTGTTAACTGTAGGACAACTAGCAGAAAAGGGTTATGATTTGTGTTTCAACAAATACGAGTGTATTGTAAATGACACAAAGAAAAAAATGATATTGAAGACAAAAATGCCATCCGGCCATTTATTTCCAACGCATATCAATTATGGTAATGCTTTTAACTGTAATTCTATGATTTTCGATGATAATTGGCTATGGCATATGCAGCTCGGGCACTTGAATTTTGGGAACATCAAATTTCTTATAAATAAAGAGTGGATTTTAGGCTTACCAACTATTCAAGTTCCTCGCCAACTTTGTGAGCATTGTGTCTTAGGGAAGAAGCATAGAGATCCATTCCCTACAAAGCATGCATGGAGAGCCAAAAAGCCCACTTGAGTTTGTGCATTCAGACTTATGCTACGTGGACACTCCTTCTAATGGTGGTAACAAGTACCTCATAACTTTCATTGATGATTTTAGTAGAAAGGCATGGGTATATTTTTTAAAGCATAAATTGGATGCATGTGGAATGGTTAAGAATTTTGTGGCATATATTGAAAGACAAAGTGATTACTCTCTTAAAACTTTAAGAACTGATAGAGGCACATAATATATTGTTTGTGATAATTTCTTAAGAAAATATGAAATTAAACATCAGTTAACACCTAGGTATACTCCTCAATAAAATGGAGTGGCAGAAAGAAAAAATAAAATTATTATGGCATGGTGAGAAGTATGATGCATTGTAAGAAGTTACCTAAGAGTTTTTGGGCAGAAGCAGTTGCTTGTGCAATTTATATTTTAAAGAGATGTCTTGTTAAAAGTGTTAGTGATAACATACCACAAGAAGTATGGAGTGAACAAAAGCCTAATTTAAGCCATATGAGAGTATTTGGTTTTATCGCTTATTCACATATACCTGATGAGTTACGAAAGAAACTTAATGACAAAGCAGACAAATGTATCTTCATTGGTTATAGCATGGAAACAAAGGGTTACAGTTTGTACAACCCAAAGACCCAAAAGGTAATCATTAGTCATGATGTTACTTTTGATGAAGATGGAGTATGGTAATAGTCTGAAAAAGAAAAGAGATCACTATCAATTCTGGTGTTCATAAATAATGAAATAAAAACAAGTAATCGCACTGGTGAGCAGTCTTCTTCTCCAGTTTCTGAAGAATTATCTAGTATCGCTCCAAAAGCTTCATCTCCTGTATTAAGATGTTCGCAACGCGATCGTCGTCCACCTACCTATTTATAGGATTATGAAGTTAGTAATAATTCTACTGATGATGGAGATGTTTTTCATTATGCTTTCTTTGCAGATTGTGATCTAATAGTGTTTGAAGAAACGTCTAATGATCATCGGTAGATTAAAATGATGGATGGAGAAATTTTTGCTATTGAGAAGAATAATACATGGAAATTAACTACCCTACTAAATGGGAAAAAGCCAATTAGAGTCAAATGGGTATATAAAACAAAGTATAAGTACAACGAAGAAGTAGAACGGTTTAAAGCAAGACTAGTTACAAAAGGATAAAAACAAAAGTCAGGCATTGATTATTTTGAAGTATTTGCTCTTGTTGCTAGATTGGATACTGTAAGTATGAATATTTCTTTTATTGCCCAAAATTGTTGGAAAATATATCAAATGGATGTGGAGTCAGCATTTCTAGATGGTGTACTCAAAGAAGAAGTG